CTACTAGGACTCAAAAAAGGAGGATGCAGCAACAACGCTTGGCTGCTCACATTTCCCAAAAGAATCAGGCTAGGGGCAGCAGGCTGATGACCACGAAGGTCAGGCCGGAGGGCAGCAAGCCCAGGGCTCAGAATGAGTTGTCGCTGGAAGGCCGAAGCTTGGTCGGAAGGACCTTCATCATCAGCTTCGGGCCCGGAAAGAGTGGAGGTTGAAGCATGTTTTAGTTAACGATTATTGTCTTGTTAATTCGCAGGGTCAGATTGGGGGGTAGCATGTTGAGATTCAGGAAAGAGTTGCCACTATAATGTTGAAGTTAAAAAGGATGGACTTGCGCCACCAGCTTCGGGCCCGGAAAGAGCGGAGGCCGAAGTGTGTTTTAACTAACAATGATTGTATTGTTAATCTTCAGGGCCACGCAGTACTTGGAACGACCAAGACCCCAGGGGATGAGCCGATGATCGGAGCACTCAATTGCAATGAGCTAACGGAAGCTACTTTGAACGTAATTGCCACCGATCAAGACCTGGAACGAGCTTTACATTTCGAAGGCGACTTCAAGGTCAAGGTGATTAGATTTTGTCTCAAAACCAAGGCCGACATACGGCCCATCAACTCATGTATTCGTCATGAATGACGACCTGATCTTGCATGCTCTGAAGGCAAGAGCATGCAGATCCATATACAAGCCGGAAATCATGCCGCTTACCTTCCTGGAAGGCAGGTAGGGTTCCTTCCCAACCACCTCTTTTGGATCAAAACGAATGTGAAATTTACTATTCGATCCGAGGAGCTGCTCCATCTTTCGAAATGCAAGATCCATTGGAGGAGGTCAACTTAGGGGACGAAATAACCCCTCGGATGATGCGGATCAGCGCTCTGCTAGATGTTGAGGAAAAGGAGCAGGCCTTGCCCCAAGAGATTGATGCCCTGCCCGAAGACAGGTTGCAGGCCCTCGAATTCATTCGATATCAAAAGAGGAAGACGAAATCAACCTTTCGGAAGCAGGTACGCCCTCAAGCCTTCCAAAAATGTGACATGGTGTGGAAGGTCGTGTTCCCGGAAGGTCCCAAAGATGCGAGGCTTTGAAAAAAATCCCCTACATAGGAAGGACCATTTATCGTATCGGCTAAATCATCTAGTGGCGCATATAGGTAGATGGAGCCCAATGAAGAAGAGTTGAAGACATTTATCAATAGAAGACATCTTAAAATGGTCTATCATTCTCTTTGGGAGCTGGAAGGAAGACACGATCGGGCTATAGTTAACGATGACCTTTTAGAAGCAGAAAAAAAATGGTCGGACAGGCCGATGAAGCATGAAAACATTAAGATATTCGAAAAAATCATCAGGACAACGAGTTGATTCTTGTCCAGATGATTTTGTGGAGGGAATTAGTACACACTCAAAATTAATTGGACCGACCCAACACAAGTGCAGCCCAAATCCTCGAGGTTCGCAGCCCAACAAAAGGTCCAGGTCAGCGAGTGGGCCTACGGACCTAACTAGCCCAAGGACCCAGCCGGCCCGATGCATTTGAAGCAGTCAACGGATGAAAGAAGGTGGAAGTGAAGGTGGTTGGAGTTGTTGGTGGAAGTGAAGTGGTTGGAGTTGTTGGAGAAAAAAGTGGAGATGAAGGTTTATCAAAATAATTCAAAAATAAAATAAATATCCAAGAGTAAAACCAGAAGAGGGGGACGCCATTTGATTCTTCTTATTTTTTCATAATTTTTCTCGGCATTATTTTCTCTGCATTTTTTTTTACATATTTTTAAGTTTTCTTCCATTAATTTCAATTTAACTTTTAGCTTTCGTTCATGTTTTACCTTCTTTCTTCGTCAATTTTTTCGGTTATCGCGAGATAGCCGCGATCCTTTCTTGAAGAGACCGGGGAATCCTACTATTAAATCAATTCTGACAGGCTTTTCCGATTAAGCCGTCGGTGGCGATTTTTCGACGACAACAAAAAGAAAAAATCTTTTGAATTGAGACAGAGAGAGTAATACAATTATATTATAATTTTTCTTAGAATATAATATTTAAATTAATTATTTTTGTACTCTCTGTCCATGAACCCTTTCCCACATAAAATGATTCTTTTTTTATTTTTGAAAAATTTAACAATTTTACAAATTTTCTTTTTTGTCCGTCCAATAAATGATTCATTTTAAATATATTTAATAAATATAAATCAATTTAACCCTTTACACATAGGACTCACTCAAAATTTATTTATTTCTATCTCTTCTCAATTAATAAATATTTTTATCCTTATTTAAAACTTTTCATTTTAAGTTAATTATAAATAAATAAGTATATATTTTTATTTATTTGTATTATATAAAATTTTATTACCTACAAAATAATATTCATACTTTATATATTTCATTAAGATATAATGATAAAAATATTTAAAATGTCAACAATAATACTCATGTAAAAAATAATAAAATAATATTATAATTTATTATTATTAATTTACTAATTTATACTACAAAAAATATCGTGTTTCCAACCAAATGGTCAAATGGATCATTTGACCCGACCCGGGACGGATGACATATAAATAAATTTAAATAAATTTTAAACTTCTTACGGATGGAATTCATTCAAAAAAAAATTTTATTTTTATCATTCTCCTCAATAAACAAATTTTTTATCTATATTTAAAACTCTATATTTTTTATAAAATTACTTTATTTAATTATATTAAATAAATATATTTTTATTTATTTGTATTATATAAAATTTTATTTTTGAAATCATATTATATAGTATACGTTTTATTGAAAATCATTTTAATTTCGATTTGAAATTATAATTTTTTTTTATTTTATACAATTTGATTTTGTATAAAATGATTTACATAATGATTATTTTTAACATAAATTATATAATAAATTTATGTATTTTATTAAAATATATATAATATATTGTATTTTATTTATTATGTAAAATATTTTTGTACTAATATAAAATATGTGTATAATAGTTTTTTTGTTTTTTGTTTTTTTAAAGTAACAATAACTAACATATTTAATTATGCATATGACTTTATACAAGATAGATAGCATGATGAATTTTACCATTCAGCATTGCTGAAATAAATCCGAGTCTTTAATAGCTAATTAATTAATACTCACTCCGAGTCTTTAATAGCTGAGTAATTAATACTCACTCCGTCCCATATCTATATTTCTATTTATTTTTTTCACGCAATTTTAGAAATATTAGTATTATATTGAGATAAAATTAAAATAAAGATAAAAAAACTAAATTAATTCTATTAGTACTGTATGATATAAAGGTAATGACATTTGTGTAATATATTGTAAATTGGAAGGGTAATTGTAATATTAGGTAGATAGTACAATACTAAAAAAATTGAAAAATGATACTTTCTTATGAGACGGACCAAAATAGAAAAATAAATAGATTATTAAGGAACGAATATAGTATATTTTTTTTCTAAAAAAATAATTATATGGTTAGTATTAATTCAGCACAAAGGCTGAATTAATTAGCATATAAGCACACGATCTAGACTCGACTTTATAATGTATAGAAATAATCAATATTAAAAAATTTCCAGTATGGCTTTCTCTTAAGGGTGTGTTTGTTTGAGGGTTTGGATTTTGAATTGAGATTTGAATAGTAAAAATTTTGAATTTGAATAGTTGTATGATGTTATATAAATAGGTGTTAATGTGATGTTTTGAATGTAAAATTGATTTTTAGTATAATATAAAAAATGAAAAATAGGTTGATTTGATGTTTTTTAGGAGAAAAAATGGAATGAACAGTGGAAATCTAATACAATCCCCAAACAAACACACCCAATAATAAATAAAGTAATAGTGTTGATATTGTTCATCCGCGTTTTTAAATGAATTGACTTTTAGTGTGGAGTATGGAGAATTGTATCGAAAATATATAAAATATATTATTTTAAATTGAATATTTGGCTATTTAATTTTTTTTACTTTTGTAAAAAGGTTTTTGTATTGTGTATTATTATTTGCAGAAAATCGCAATTGAACATTTGTTGGAAGAACAAAGCTGCTAGATTCTTTCTCCAATCATATTTAATAAATTAATTGAAATTTCTTATACAACTTTCTAAAGAATCATATTTATTGTAGATTTTATATTACATAGAAATAAATACTTCTACATTTCTAATTTAATCGTTTATTAATAAAATATTAATATACTATATGATATTAATACTTTATTTTTTTAAAGTTTTTCTAGAAAATATATTTATTTTCAAAAGATATATGAATAATATGGTCAAATTTTATGTAATAATTAAAAATATAAGGTGTTCTATGCATTTTTAGTGTAGCACATAATCTATGATATAATTGATTACAATATACACATTTAATTTATATTTGATCAAAATATTAAATTAAATTTTTTTTTTTTTTTTTCACATTGTCGACCGTTTGGATAGGAATTGGAGGAAATTTTAGTTTGAAAAATTTTGGATTTTAGTTGTTTCGGAATTTATTTTTTACTATAAATATAAAAAAGGAGATGATTTTATTGATGATGTGAAAGTAAAATTTTGATTTAATATATTTATAAAAATAAAAAATAAATTTTAATAGTGTAAATATATTAATATATATTTAATCATTAATAGAAAATAAAATTTTATATAAAAAATATTAATTTGTTATTAATATAAAATCATTTATAATAATACAAGGCAGTTGTGGGTGTGTTTTTTGGATTTGAATTTAACATTAAAATAATAATGTATAATTGAAATATTTTGTGATAAAAAAATATATTTTTTAAAAAAAAATTCAAATAATAAAAATTTGAAATTTTAGTGTTGAAAACATTTAACAACTTAAAAAATAAAAATAAAAATCGTATTTTGACGGGATTTTTAAAAACCAAAAAAATTGTCAAATAGCCCAAATGGCAAATGGTTGTGTCTATTATTGCAATTTCGAATATTTTCCAAACATATTTAAACACGTCAAAAATCCAAAAATACTATTACATATTTATCGTTAAAACATTTTTAAAATTACAAGATCCACGTCGAACATCTCGGAAATCCAAAATAAGTTATTAAAAACATCTTCAGAATTACAAGCATCACCATATATATATATATAAATAACGGAAGGGGATCCTGAGAGTGGGGGCAGGGAGTGAGGTACCTAATAGAGAGAAGCAGCTAGCCTAGGGGCAAGAAGGACATTTAACGGGGTGGCTTTGGACAAGGTCACACCGAGAGATGCAGACATGTCTACGGCTTCACCGTCCGGCGTCGACACGTCAAATGATTGCACCAAGCTGGCGATCACCAGCTTCATCATCTCCATCGCCAAATTCGCTCCGGGGCAGATTCTCCGGCCGCCGCCGAACGGCACCCACTGGAAATCTTTATGGCCGCCGGCGGTGCCAAGAAACCTCTCCGGCAAGAACTTGTCGGGATCCTCCCAAATCTGGGGATCCCTCTGCAACTTCCATATGTTGACGAAGAATATCGTTCCTTTCTCTATTTCGTAGCCTCCCACGTTGCAGTCCTCGTTGAATTCCCTTATCCCACTCAACGGCCCCGCCGGGTACAGACGGAGACACTCTTTCACGACGGCTTCGAGGTATATGAGGTTGTCTATGTCCGACGGCTCCACGCGCCGCTCTCTCCCGACTTTCTCGTCGAGCTCTTGCTGGACTTTGTTTAGCACTTTAGGGTTGTTGAGTAAATGAGTCAGCAGCCATACTAACATCACTGTGTTCGTATCACTCCCCGAAATCAAATTCTGCAATTATACATATATATATTACATGCATATATAGTATTTGGAAAAGAAATCTGACAAGTTAGTTACTTACCGAACAAGTGGCTTTGATTATGGTGTCTTCATCGTATTCGTTTTCAAGCTTTGCACTTTTGACGGCTCCAATCATTATATCCATGAAGTCATCTTGCTTGCCGCCGGCGGCGGCGGCGGCGGCGCGATGTTCCGACAACCATTTAGAGAGGATAGCATCCATTTCGCGGAACGTTTGCTTCATCTTCTTCTCGAATCCGCCGATGTCGAGCCACCGGAGAAACGGCACGACGTCGCCGATCGTGGGAACTCCGATGAGTTCAAAGAACGCCTTCATGACCTTCCGGCAATGCTTCGCCTCGGCCACGTCAGCATCGGAGACGGCATATCTCTTCCCGACAACCAACCTTAAAACTGCGTTCAGATTCAGATTCCCAAACCACTCGATCATCTCCACCGGAGCACTTCCCGACGGGTTCTTTGTCTGGTTCCAGAGACCGTACAGTTCTCGGACAGACTGCGCAGTCTCGGACAAGAGCACGTGCCGCTGTATGTGGAGCCGGCGGCTCGAGAGGAGCTCGACTGAGATCAGCTTCCGCAGCTCGCGCCAATACGTGCCGTATTTGCTGAAGCCGAACATAGCCGAGTCGTAGCTGATGAGTTCCGCCGACTTTAAAAATGGTCTGGACGACGCCGCCATGTCGCACGTGGTGTATATTTCCTTGGCCAATTCCCAGCTGCTCACGATGAGCGCGGGCCGGGTCCCGAGCCGGATGCTGTAGATCGGGCCGTAAGTTTCGGCCATGGCGGTTAAGGTGATGTGCGCCAGCTTGTCGTCGGATTTGCCTCTCGTCATGATGTGGAGATGGCCCGTGATCGGCCACGCGCCGCCGGCTGCCGGCGGCTTCCGGTTTCTTGAACGGGATTTGGAACGGCGGAAGATTGAAGAAGAGAATGCAAAATAGGAAAGGAGCATAAGGAAAATTGTGGTAATGAAGAACAAGTCCATGGTTTCTTCAGCGGAGGAGAATGAAGACGGTAGAACAAGGTAAAAAGAGAGGAGTAATACTACTAATAGCTGAAAAGATAGGAACGGATCTCTAGGTGTGATGATGTGATCGGATCAGGGCAGTTCCGGACTTTGTTGGCCTAGACCGAAAATAAATTATAGGTCTTTGATTAAAATATATTTTTAAAATAACATCACTGATTCACGTGAATTGAACAAGAGATTTATATGATGATTTGAATGTCAATTTAAAAAAATAAGATAAAGATGAAGTTCGAAAAACGAGAATAACTGAAAAAAAATAAAAATAAATAAAAGAGAAGGTGATGCGGATTTGGTATGAGTTGCAGACACATACGATAGGGTGTAAGGTAAAAAAATATAAACAACGATTAAATTTGAAAAAATAAAGTGAATCCGATTGAAAACAAAGAAATAGAAAAAAAAATATATTATTAAAATTTAAAATTTAATTTTTAAAATTAAATTAAATAATTATAAAAAAATATATATATAAACTAAAAATTAAAATTTAATAATAATAATAGATATATTTTTTTAAATATAAGCTCTCTGCTAATTAGAGTCTCAGCAGTGCCCACCTACTCCTATTGCGAATCCGGCCCTCGATGGGATCAACATATATGCTAAAAATAAATAGTATACTTTTTTATATATTTTTTTAATAATTATGAAATTTATTACTATCCTCATCCACAAATTAATGTTCTATTTTTCTATTTTCGACGTGCAATAACTATTATCCTATTTATTTTTTTAAACACAAATTTAACATTTTTACCCTTCATTATTTATTACCTTTCATCTCTATCATACAATTAAAGACAAATTTGTCAATTCATAACAAAAAAAAAAAAAAAACAATCACCTAAAAAACTGTGCAAATATACTTCAAGACAATAGAAATTGAACGAAAGTAATATTAATTATTAATATTTTTTACACTTATTTACTATTTTACTTTAATTTTATTATATAATTATATCTAAAAATATACATAATTTATTTTTTACATTATTATATCAATTCATGATTATTAAAATATTAATATTTTTAAATTTTCGTGCAAAAATAAATATAAATAATTGGATATTTATATTGCAATATATTTATAATTAAGCATAAACATACGATATTGACCGACATAAGGATCCGCGCCCCAAGAAGATGGAAATTATTGAAGCTTAGATGAGATTTCTCTATTGTAAAATTATTGAATCTTGGGTCTGATTATTTCTTGTTTGAACGCGGTGCACAAAAATATTATAATTATTGTTTCAACAATAGTCAATTTTTGAAATTAGAAGGTATTTAATTTAATATAAATAATTGTTATTTTTATATTTTAAATATAAAAATAAAAAATAAACATTTAATTTGATATTTTTTTATATAAAAATCTGAAATGACGAAAACTCAAACCAAAATTCTACAAACATATAAATGTCTTAAAAGTTTTGAGATACTAAAAGTAAAATATTAAAAATATATTTAATATAATATTGTACTTTTTTCGTCTCATTTAATTTATTTACTTTTTCTATTTTTCTCTATTTTATATAATTTGTTAATTTTTTTTAAATATAATTATACACTTTTAATTACGTTTTAAAATTCATCATTTATAATTTATTATTTTAACTAAACTATTTAGTCATTTTATCTTAATTTATAATTATTTTTATTAAATTATAATTATTTTTACTAATATATTTCTTAATTATTTACTAATTACGTAATATTTAAAATTCCGTACCCAATTAAAATGAACAATTTAGCTGTAAAGACGGAATATAAGATAAAAATATACTTTATTTTAATATAATATTATTTAAAATTATTATAATATTAAAATTTTCAAAAATATTTGCATAATAATTTTTCATCCCATTTAAATCTATCAATCAATACTTTTATTGAAGTTTCAACCCTATTCTCCTATCATGTCTCGTGACACCACTTAATTAAATAAGTATTACTATCGTTTTTTTAGTCTCATATTTTTAATAAAAAAAATAATGATCCATCTGTCTCGCTCTAAATGTTTAGTTAGTTTCTGCGTTATTTACTTAATATTAAAAATTATAATAGTTATTATAAGATATTTATATAAATATTTTTATTATTTTATCTTGATTTGTAATACATTTTTATATAATAATTAATATTCAAAGATCAACATGCAAAAAAATAAATGATATTTTAGAGCCGAAGGTAATAGTTTTTAAATTCACCCAGTGTATTATTAATATATGTAAAATATGAACCAATGAACCAAGAGTTGCTGTCTTTATATACATATATTTATTCCCACTTTCTATTGATTGAATAAAAAGAAATGTGTGTATTATAATTATATATAATAAAATATTTTGCTTGACCACACAAGATATAGATCAATTTGATCAAATTTGATAATTGAATTTTGTGTCCAACATTGCTTTATTATTTTATTATTACATTATTTATCATTATGATCGATCCTTGACAAAGTCGATCAATGATCGATCCTTGACAAAGTCTCTTTGTTATATCGATTGAGATATTTTAGATATTCAATTTTAGATTTAATAGATTTATATTTGGATTTTATCTTATTCATAGATTATATTATTTAGATTTGAGTTTATTGAATCTATTTTGTATTGCCTATATACATAGTTCCTTATTTTGATGATCAATAAGACAATCTCATTATTTTCCTCCAAAATTTCTAATATGGTATCAGAGCCTATTTTTCTCATGCCGTAGATATAGCCTACCAACCCGCATTTCTCCGGGTACATTCAACCTGAATTGTACCCGGAGGTCTAGTGATTTTGAGATCATACCTTTGCAAGTTGTCTTTTTGCAAATCTGTCTCGTCTCGTCTCCGATCTGTCATTTGTCCGCTGCTTGTCTGTTGCCTACGAGCGATCTGAAACGATCTGTCATTTGTCCGTTGTCTGTTTGTTGCTGTGTGCGATATGCCATTTGTCTTTGTCTGTTTGTCGCCTGCGCACAATCTGTCATCTATCCGCTGTTTGTTTGTTGCCTGCGTGAGATCTGATCTGTCCGATATTTGCGATTTGTTTGTTTTTTGCTCCGGTGGTCATATGGTTTTTTACTCCGGTGGAGAGTCATCTCATTTCGTCTCTGGTGGAGCGTCATCTCCTTTTCGGCTCCGGTGGAATCATCTCGTTTTATTTTTTGCTCTGATGGAGTTATCTCGTTTTCGACCATCTCGTTTTCGCCTCCAGTGGAGTTATGTGGTTTTCGGCTCCAGTGGAGTCATGTGGTTTTCGGCTCCGGTGGAATCATCTCGTTTTCGGCTCCGGTGGAGTCACGTCATTTTCAGCGGCTCCGGTGGAGTCACGTCGTTTTCGGCGGCTCCGGTGGAATTATGTCATTTTAGGCTCCGGTGGAGTCATCTCATTTTCGGCTCCGATGGAGAGTCATCTCGTATTCGGCTTCGGTGAAGTCATGTCATTTTCGGCTCCGGTGGAGTCATCTCGTTTTCGGCTCCGGTGGAAAGTCATCTCGTTTTTTGCTCCGGCGGATGAAGAGTCAACTACTAATTTTATTTATGTTTTTTTTTTTTTTTTTGCGTTTATATTCAATTTTTTTTTTCAAACTCAAGTTGGTTTCTGTTATACCATTTGAGTTTGAAGAGGATGTTGAGATATTTTAGATATTCAGTTTTAGATTTAGTAGATTTATATTTAGATTTAGTAGATTTATATTTAGATTTGATCTTATTGATAAATTAGATTACTTAGATTTGAGTATATCGAGTCTATTTTGTATTGCCTGTATATATAGGCTCCTTATTTTGATGATCAATAAAACAATCTCATTATTTATCCCAAAATTTTTAACAGCATCGAAAAAAAATTGAAATTTTTATCGCTTCTACGTCGTCTATATATGGATCATTAAACACATAGATAAATTGATTGTTGATTCAATAAACTTCTCTTCTATTACGTGCACACTAGCTAGGCTACTTTATTTATTTGGCTAAATCAAATCCAATCTATTGGAGTCATCTTTGAAAAAGTATATCTTGTTAAGAAAATAAATACTATTTAATCTGATACTTAGAAAAGATATATTAATAAATGGTCATAAAATTTTAAAAAATATCCATATAAAGTCTTAGTTGATACATCAATCTAATGTATTCATGTATTTTGTTTGGTAACTAAATATTCAAATAATCACCAATGTAATTGAGCAGTTTTTTGGTGAAGGACTACATGCTACAAAGCAGAAACTTTTGATTAGCATCAAGGTCGATCCTAACTTTCGAAAGGCTTTGGACAAAAAATATATATATATATATATATATGGGCCTAAAAATATATATAAATAATATATTTTTAATTATAATAATATTTAAATAATTAAATAAAATAAAATTTTAGGATTTTTAGATGAAAAATAGTATTACCTAAGTCCGGCTCTAAGGGTCTTATTTATTTTTTATGTATTAATTTTTTAATATTAATTACTATATTAAAATATAGTACTCCTACAAATTAAGAAAATATTATAAAAATATTTATTTTAGTGTCTTATGATACTAATAGAATGTTATTTTTACAAAAGAATATACAAACATAAGAATCTTTTTAATGTTAAATACAATGACACAAAATATAAATGTGACCTGAGAAGCAGACGGAGGGAGTATAAAAAAATATTTCTAAATGTTTGAGACATATAAAATTTGAACTTAAGACCTCAATATTAAAAATTAATCTTTATACCACCAAATTATAATACTCCCTCCGTTCCAATACAATAGTCTTGTTTACTATTTTTGTCCGTCACAAAACAATAGTCTTATTTCCATAAATAATCATATCACTATATAACTATCCTTACTTTTTCATTATTATTACACAAATACAATTGTCACTACTTTTTACACTAATACACTCACAAGAGCAAAAATGTTTTTTACCTATCATTTTACCCACTATCAATATTCCTTAAATCTCGTGTCCAACACAACTAAGACTATAGTTCCAGAACGAATGGAGTACTTTTTATTTATATATATCAAATAAATTATATATATAACATAAATATATACTAGGCCCTTGTTTAC